GCAGCACAAGGCAGACAGCAACCTTTCATGGTGGCAGCAAAGAGCAGAGAGCAAAAGGGAAGGGCAGCAGCTCAGGCAGCTGGCTAGCCTCTGTCCTTCCTTACATTGTAATGCAAATTACCTGCCCCTGACAGTGCACCATCCACACCCACAATAATCAATCACAAACTCCAGAAGCAGCCTCAAGTGACTGCATGAGGCTTTGGGAGGACACCTATACATAAACCCTAACACCCTGTTTGTCTGTTTCTCTTGATACTAGAGAATGAACTCAAGGCCTTTCGCATGCTAGACAAGTGTTGTACCACTGAGCTACATCCCTTGTCCCAGTTTTTGCTTTTTTTTTTTATAATTTTATTTATTTATATGTGTGTGTGTGGCCAGCTCAGCCCACCAGGGGGCGGGGCTGGTTGGCATGTGGTGCTGGGGGATTGAACCGCGGTCCCTGTACTTTGCTAAGCTTGTTCTAAGTAGGTGCTTTAGACCACTGAGCCATCTCACCAGCCCTGCTTTTTGGTTTTTAAGATAGAGTCTTGCTATGTTATTCAGGTTAGCCTTGATATTGTGGTGATCCTTCTACTTTGACCTCTTGAGTGCTGTGATTATAAGCATGCGCTAAAATGCCAGGCTTGGTTTTATTTTTTAAGCAAATAATTATCTTGGTTGATACACGGAGATGTAGATCGTATTTGTGAATCTTCTCAGGATCTTTTTCTTCTAACATTGCTCCTCTTTTCTTGTGGTTTTCCCAGATTCTATCTTCTGGTTCCCCAGGTCAGAGACTGATTGCTCCGCAAGGGCTCCTACTGTGTTGTATTCCTTGCCAAAAAACCTTTTAAACTTGTCCCTAGGTTGAAATCCAAGAAAATGGGAGCTCAATGTGTACATCTCCTCTCTAAGCATGACCTCCCCTTCAGAATCTGCCGCTTCTAATTCTCTTCCAGTGATTTCAGGTAGCTGCTCATTATATTATATCCAAACTTAACCAACAGTATCTGGAGGGCCAGTCTGATAGGCTAGTGTTCACGTATTAGTGCCTGATTATTGTTTTTTGGAACAAATTCATGAATAAATGTTATAAACATTTCTTTTGGAGGGGTACTAGGAAACAAACTCAGGACCTTGCACTTGCCAGGCAGGTACTGTGTTGCTGAGCTATAACCCCAGTTTTAAACATTTATAATAAACAAAATGTCATGATACAAAGATCAAATTTTTAAAGAGGAACAGGTTTGTGCACCATGTGTTTTATTGTTTAGCTCATTTTTTTGGTGTTGAGAAAGGCCTATCCTTAACTCTGAGGTCATCTCAAAGTGCAGGTCTGAACATGTTTCCTCTTTTGGGTATTCCTAGTAAATTTATTTTTCAGCAAGGATAAGGTAGAATGGGTTTAAAGAAAATTCCCTATGGTGTTTAACTAAACTTCAGGTTATATAACAATAAGGCTAAAATAAGGCTAAGCAGAGAAAACAGATTTCTCAGTAAGAATTATTTGTGGGATTTCTCTTCATTGTAGATACTGTGCTGATTACATAGAACTCTGGGTATTTTTAAGAGGGAAAGAGGTAAAACTACCTTCTGAGTTGAGGTGATGTCTTAACCCTGATCCCAGCCTATCTCATCTACTTCCCTCTCACGCTGCCATAACTACAGAGGTCCTTGGCCAGCACATCCACAAGCAACAGAGAATTCGCTGAAACCCAATGCTAGATTTTGACACTTTGCAGCTTGTTCGATAGTGATTACAAGGAAAACAGACAGGCAGACAGGCAGGCAGGCAGGCAGGCACGCACGCACGCACGCACGCACGCACACACACACACACAGAGCTTTATCAACAAAGTAGCATTTCCATTTCAGCTGTTTCTAGGTGCAAAACAGAGCTATAAAGAGAAATCCAAGATTGAAAGCTTTGTGGTTATATCTGTTTCTCATTAAAGTGTCCCTGATTATAACTATGCCTATGATTACAAGATTTAATACACCTGGTCTCAGGGATGCACTAGGAAGAGGAATCATAAATTTGTTCCATCCCATTTCCTTTTCTTTCTTTTTCTTTTTCTTTTTCTTTTTTCTGCAAAGCTTTATTCCGGAGGGGCTCAGTACTTCTTGGCAGCTGCCTTCCTCATGGAGGCCAGCACATTGCTCAGCTCCTCACGCTTCTCTTGCCACGGATGTGCATCCCCACCCTTTTCTTGATGAACTTGAGGGCGCGCTTGTCCTTGGAGACCTTGAGCAGCTCCATGGCGCACCGCTGTAGGGGGCAAAGCTGCACACCTCCTGGATCATGTCCCGCACGAACTCGGTGTGTTTGGTGAGGCGTGCGCAGCGGCCGCTGTGCCTCAGTTTGCCCACATCCTTAGTCACCTTGCGGCCCTTGTTGAGGCCCATGGCCATGGGATAGCAGAGGGCCATGGCTACTCTTTTTCAATGGTTGCTATGGCGGAAGCCCCATTTCCTTTTCTTTATTCACTGAATAAGAACAATTTATAAGTTTCAAAGAGTGCAGACTAGAGGTGGTTTAGAGAATAGAAGAGAGGTTTTTCATTCACAAACTTTGAAAGTGACAAAAATCTTCCACACCCCCAAATTATTTTAGCATTGGTCAGACAAGCAGTGTTGCTTTCACTGGCAATATACAGATGTGAGAAATCTGGATAGAGTTTTTGTATTTCTTCCCTCAATTTGTTAGTCAAACATTTTTGCTCTTCCTTATATGTGTATGTAACCCCCCACCCAAACTTACACATGCTCTCACCCTCATTCAGTATGGAAGTGTGCATTTCCAGTGGGTTTTCTGATGCTGAAGGGCTTTGTGCATACTAAGTATGTGCTCTATCACTGAGCTATACACTGCAGCCCCAAAGTCTTATACTTTTCTTTAATATCATTGTAATTTATATTCTTTAATACATTTTAATTTTGAAATAATGTTAGGCTTACAGAAGAGCTGCAGACAGTATGGAGTCCCTTATATTCTTCTTGCCAAGATTTCCTAGTTGTTAAGGACTTACATAACAATGATACAATGATATATTTATCAAGAGTTGTGTAGAACTTCATGATGGATTAAAAACCCCGTATCTTTCTTGACTCTTTCATTAAATTTTTATTTATTTATTTATTTATTTGGTATAGGGTCTCACTATGCAGCTCAGACTTGCAGTGATCCTCCTGTCTCAGCCTCCCCAGCACTGGGATTACAGGCATGTGCCACCACGCCTGGTTTTGTGGCTGGTACAGCATATCTGGTGTTCTGGGACTGGCACAGCATGTGGTACTAGATATTGAACCTGGGTCCTTGCACTTGGTAGGCAGGCACTTAGACCACTGAGCTATCTCCCCAGCCCTTTTGATTCCTTCTTGTACAGCAGATTTTCAACAAGAACAGTATGTGCCCTGTAGCAGTTCACTTAATTATATGGACTATCAAGTTATGATCTATATGACCCTATTCCCTATTCCCATCAAATTCCTAGATAATAATCTCAAGGCTCCAATGCCTCCAGGTGAGAGCTCATAGTTATGAAGCAATTCTATCTCTATAGAAGTCCTTGAGCCACGTCATTCTTTCTCATCTCCTTTGTATCCCTATTAGTCAGCTCTCCAATACCCATTTCACGACCTCTTCTTGCTAATTAAAATTCATTTTTGGTCAGAACAGCAATGTATCAGCTAAATACACTGTCAGGCTCCCTTGCAATGAGAACTAATGTGAGACAGTTCTGGCCAATGAAACATAAGTCAGCTAGGGGGTTCCAGTAAACTGTTCCAGTTCCTCAAAAAAGTATACAAAAGTATCTAGGACTATTTTTCTCCCAACTTCTTCTTTATTCATTGAAGCCAGTTACTATGGCCACTACTACAGCAGCTGTTCTGTACCCAAGAGACAAAGGCCATGAGGATTATAGAAATACCGGCTCTGGTTATGCTGAACCACTAACAAACTATACCTCTCTATGTGTTTCCTGTGATAGGAGAAAAAAGCAAATCCTTACTTGTTTAGGCCATTATAGTTCTCTGTAGCTGAACATGTTCATACCAGATAAACTCATTCAAACCAAATTTTAACCTACAGAAGCAGATGAGGAGGGAAATGCTGCTGAGAATAAAGAATAGGGAAGTAGAGCTTCAATGGCCTTGCTGCTGGGTTAAAACAATAGTTCGTGTGCATTTACACAGAAAATGCAGTTGTGCAGGGAAGGAAGGGGATAACTAATAGTCCTTGCATGTATAAACAGGTACCCGGAACTTGATATGGTAAAATTCTACCAGGAATAAAGCCCTTCTGTGTGACAAAACAATCACCCTTACACGGTTTCCACAACTCTTGGTTAAACACTGATGTGTGAGCCACAGATGATCACTGTGGAGGCCAGGAATTGAATTATTAATACAAACTCTCATTTACGGTCAACTGGGAATGAGTTTCCATTAAAATCAAGAAGAAAATTCATTTTGAATTTTCGAACATACATGGATATATAATTTTTCTTCCTGTGCTGGCCATATAGGCTGGAGAAATCCAGCTAAATTCACTTGAGGAAGGAAGAAAGTTTAATTTATGCAGCAGTGAAAATCTCATGTATTTGATTTAGAGCTAGGAAGGAAACATCTTAAATGAAGCCTTTCGGTAGGTTAGCACGAACAATGAAATGAGCCGGGAGGGCAAGTCGCTAGAGATCAGGCAGCACAGGCAGGTTAATGTGCTCCAGCTAGCTGACCCTGGAACCTGCCCCTATTTGCAGAATGCCAGGAGTCACAGCTTAAATCTGTAAAGACGTGCTGTGGTTTTGCTGTGGCAGTTACTGGGTAGCTGCCCAATATGTTAGAGAGGAGACAGTGACTTTTACCGAAGGTGCAAATGGTACCGTTTTCCTGCTACAAAATCCCTGTTGACTGATTCATGTGCATGAGACCGTCTAGGGAAAAGGTTTGAGCTTGCCCAGGTGAAAGGAAGATTGAAGACAGATAAAGAGGTAGGGAACGGACTGACTTACCTGAGTAGCTTTCTGGCTAAGACCCCGAAGCAGCAGCACAATCACGTGGACGGCAGCTCTGCGGACTTGAACTTCATTGTCTGTTTTAGCCACAGCAATCAGGCAAGCTGTCACCTAGCAGGGTGAGGGAAGAAGTCAATAAAAACAGTACCGCACAATTACCTGTAGCCTTTCAACTATGTTGCCCTTACTACACACATTCACCAAAAGCAATTTGGGTTAGAGAAGGGCAGAATAGTTTCCTTATCTTGAATAAAGAAGGTGAGATGGATACAATCTGGATTTTCTAGTCAAGGAGAAAAATCTGGTTTGGAATTCAAAAGGAAGGTCAGAGAATGGGAAGGAATATATGTACATAACACGTACCCCAAATGTGATAGGCCCAAAGGCTATTTCCTTAAAAGTGGGAAAAACTGCTGTGTTCAAATGGCCCCAAACAGTTGCTTCTAGGGACTGAGAATCATGAAAATTTAGCTATGGAGACCTGGAGTTCATGGCATGAACACAAACATACCCTGATAAAAGTTTCAGCCCAGGGATACAGAAATAGAGAAATATCCAAGCTGGCCTCCCTCCTCACTTCCACGCGTCCCGGTCGTATAATCTATATCCATCTAATAAGTTGGCAGGAGCCAGTTTGAGGAACTCCTTTCCTGAGCACCTTTCTCTGTGAGATGGGTCTTTTTTTTTTTTT